AATGATGTGATGCTCGCAGCCGACACTGACAGATAGGTAGGTAGGATGTACGAAAGCAATCCATGAATGCGTGTGCAAATCACAACATAAACGATTGCGTGGGTTCACCTATACCTACGGACGTACAGTCCTACCGTACATCTCGCCCCTACATTACCATTCTAGCCTTCTATTCCTTTCGCATTGCCATGCCATGCCATCCATTCGGAATTCCAGGAAAAGAAGACAGATTCCCTCATCGATGCCACAATGCTCTATTTCCATCTTACATACTGTACATACCTAGATATCTCGCATGCAGTAAATGTAACCTTAACACACACATAAATCCGCTCTTTACACTATTTTCTCACCTGTCTACTAGGTAAGTATTATTATTTTCTCACTTACCCCGTATCCATTTACTCAAAAACCAAAAATTCAATCCCAGTACTTCCTTCCTTCTCTTTCTGCAGCATCCTTGAAATTGATATCTATCAAATATCAATCACGATTCACCAATCAGCAAGGAACAGAAACAAAGAAAAGTTGGCTCTCTCTTGCCTATTCAAGATGTGCTTTTACAAATATGTATTTTTGTACCGACGGGGGGCGCACAAGATACTGGTGTGCTTCGGTAGTACTACTCTACAACCTAGCATCATGGATTTGTAGTCAAGTCTCGACTCTTGACTCTTGAGTCGTTCCAAACAGTCGGGTCGAAGTTTCGGTGGTGAGTCTGATGTATGATGGGGAGGGCGAGAGGTGCATATGTACATATGTACATAGGTAGGTATCGTTTCGGATGTTATGCGATGTTTTCGAGTACCGTCTAGAAAAGCGTGGATGAGATAGGGAAGGTCAGTGCGTATGTCATATGTCGTTCTGATACACACTGCACAGACATCACATCATATAGAGTACATTGCGGTTTCAATTTTGATAAAGGCTTGAAAGAAATAAGGAACTCGAGTGTGAGCACTACTCTAGCTAGTTTCGAAACCGTAGGGCTTAGTTGCTACAATGGTTGTATGGCATGGCTAAAAGAACAATATTCTCGAACAAATTTACATATCGACTTCTAGAAGTGGGAAGGAAGGAAGGAAGATCGTGAAGTACATAGACCTTGGACTAGTTTGTGAACTTTAAATTTTTTGTGGGAAATTCATGGGATGGTGGGAGATGAGACAAGATAGGTTCGTAATGTGTGCTTGACACTTCTGAAAGGTTGATAAGGAGAAGATTATAAAGTGGTAATGAGTCGAAAAAGCAGATTTCTGTTACATGTCTAGCATGAAAGGATAGCGGTGTGTATGAACACTTTCTTCAAATAGAATCTCCTCCTCATTCCCAGCTCGTCGTCCCCAACGTTATTAGCGATCTTATAGACGAAGCTATCTATCGTGGCACCGACCTGGAGAAAGTCTGAAGAGGCACAGTCTAGATAGATGACTACAGTATATAATTACCGCGCTGCTACAGCCTGCAGTAAACAAGATAAACCAGACTCTGTAGTTTAGTACTGTAGATATTATGTACCAAGTATTGTGGTACACCATGACAATATCCATGGATTTTGATGAAAATTTTGTATGTTGAGTGCTGCAACGTGAGTGATATGCCTGAAACTATTTATCGATATAGACGCAACGATAGTTTAATCCGGAAGAGTAGACCCCCATGAACTTATATTGCATGAAAATTTCCATGTCTTCTACTGAATGAGGGGTAGATAGCGATGTTTCTACATGAACGATACGAATAGGCCAACGCGTGAAACAGAGAAGGTCAAACAACGGGGGATCTCCACCACTACCGTACATGAATGAATGCTCATAACGGGCTCGTACACCTTCCGTTATCCGGTCAACTTTGATGGAGTTTTTGTGAACAGGTATATAATGAGTAGTAAGGCATTTTGCTCTGTGTTATTCCCAAATACTTTTCTGATGCAGGAAAGCAGGTATTTGCTCGCAGTACAGATCTTGTTTTTGTAATTGTGGTTGTTTTGCAATGGATTAAGCGAATTGATTTGAGGGCCATTTGGGCGGCAATAGACGTGCGTACCTTTTTGTGTATGCAAAATGAGCATTTCATATCTACATCATTCATACGTATAGTCAAATGCTTACCTTCGGAATAAATTGAGTCTCTGGAAGAATGTATCAATTTGAGTCGAGATAGATGAACATAATCGACGGCCGGCCCCGCAGAATGAATTCCCAAAGTGATTGATGATTCGAAGGAGGGGTCTCTGCTGGGTGATCATTGGCAACTTAGAGTAGATCCTTCTGCGGGTGCTTAGTGGTATCACTGGTACTGTATGTGAGCGGAGATGTTACTGATCCAGAATTCAAGAATGATCCCTCCACAATAGCAATATCATTCATGCTATAAGCTTATACGATGGCTAACAAGTTATAAGCTTTGGCGTCAAAATTACAACCGAGTTAGCTTGAACCAACAGTACACGAGATATTGAATATTGTTGTGATATTAATTCTGGCGGATAATAGCGTGAGATGATCGGGAAGTATTCGACCTCTCAGCATGCTTAACAGCAATATTTCTAGAGCTCCGGTACCTGCTTTGAAGGGCTAGAATCACTCATTATTGGCATTACTAGCTTCAAACCAATAGTTAGCTTCAGGGCATTATGGGGCCGTCAACAACGGTTTGATTGCCTCTATCAGCCCCCGAGATACTCGTGTCGCCAGAAAGTATGCAAATCGCCGCTACTCGATAAGGAAAAACAGGGGTATTCGGTCAATGAGTACTGTACAAGTTGATTATGTAAACGTAAACATAAACATAAACGAAACGACCCCCTTCATCTTTATCGACATGGTCGTTTAGGTAAAAAGCAAGAGTACACTGTACAACGCACACACTGTACAGAGTACAGAGTAGGTGATGTGGTTGAAATATTCAAGGTAGATGGCTGATGGATAATGCAATTTGCCTCTCTCTTTGCATAATGAGTTAAGCCACTCTACTCAGCCTTATTGCGTGGACGAAAAGTGGAAGTGTGGCCAAGATATAGTGTTTTTCGTATAATGTGTTTTGAGTGGCACGGCACGATAGTGTACCAATTAATAGCAAACGTAGCTGTGCTTTGGTCGCGAACTTAGCCAGCACGTTATTCGTGTGCAGTAATTGGTAAAAGCAAGAGGGTGTGACTTGTGTGAAGTTGTGACTTTGATGATACAAGGGGGGCTAGTGTATATATTCAACATTTGGTTTGGACTTTCCATTATTGTAATTGGCGTCTATGCAATTGGAAGGTCAAAGTCATGTACTCATCATTTCACATTTCAGCTCCACCGGTCAATTAGATCAACAGCTTCGGTATTGCCTCTTCAGAATTCCCCCAGAGCTTATCGACTTATCACACACCGCACCGAACTTTTGAACTTATCGTCGGATCCTCCAATCCCGAAACATATTTCGATTTAATAGAGTTTTTCGTTTCTTATTCAGTGGAACAACATTGGGGTATCACGATCTCCAAGCTTTGTCTAAAAGACAATATGATGATCTCTTCTCTCCGAATCACGATCATCAGGTAGACAGGCCTACAATCATCGTTTGTGATATTGAACAAGGGGTGCGAAATATAAATGATGATGGAGTACGACCTTACGCGCGAGCTTTGGACCTGCATACAGTATTTACACATCTGCAAGTAGATGAAAGGTGTGTGAGTGGACAAGTGATTGGAATAGCTAGCACCAAACAAATTGTGTTTAGGTCTAATTAAGTGAGAGTGAGCGGGATGAAATTCTAATGAGGGGGAGGGGAGTTAATGTTCTGGACAGGAAGATAGTCGATAATAGCTGCGTAATTACAGAAAGTAAACAAGTAGAAGGGCCTCCTCTTGACTTCACTTCACTTCTTATTAGACATTTCTCGTCCATGCCAATGATATCTGGATAGGTAGTCAATGAGCCAATCGTTCCAATTAGCCTTGGAGAAGACGCCTAATATGGAAAAGTTAAGAGTGGGGTCCCGGAGACGCAAATTACCAGGCACCGTGGTCAGTTTATCCATGCAAAGGCAATTAACCCACCGCACCACTAATTCAGCCCGCTACTCATTCTTCTCTAAAACACAGGGAAGAAATACCCATCGTCAGCATTTCTCAAGTTTCTCAACCACTTTTCAGCCTGCCAATTGACAAGCGTACATCCTTTCCTCCCAAATGTATCTCTCTCCGATAACCCAGGAATGCCATCTTCCCTGTTTAAATATTGTAATCCTGTACTCCACACACAAATCTTTTCTTCCAATGAAATCCTTGATATGGCTTTATGTCCCGTATTCGGTCAAGCACTAGTTGATAGTCAACTTGTCAAGACTTTCATCTGCGTCTTTCTGCTGGCCGGAACACTTTCGTCACAGGGATTCGTTATACTTCGCTTCAAGGAAGGCATAAGAAGAGACCAATCCCGGTTCATCATGGAACAAGAGGGCCATCATGGGCAAGACCCTCGCGTGCCTCCCAAGCTACAAGACTCCACCTGTGGTACCTAGACTTGCACTGGCTGGTGTCGCCTTATACATATGCAAGCAGGTTGCATTACCCATTCTATCGATTTGGAACGATTTTGAGTTTCCTCATCTTTATATATCATACACAATTCCAGTTCTATTTTTGATCTTTCTCTGCCTTCTTTGATATCATCTCAAGTATCGTCAAAGCACCTGGCAATGGCCTCATGAAACCATTGCACTACTGTATCCCACGGGCCTACGCACCACCGAGCGGGTCAAATCTCACTAGACTTTCCCATCACTGGTTTCGACATATCCCATATGAAGATCATAAACGTTTAACTTTCTAGAAGTATATTTAGAAGCTGCAAAAGAGCGCCATAACATCTTGTCTTTGTATTCCGTGCATCGATACACTGCCGGTTCGGTTTGGGAATCAGCAACGTTCACACATCTGGCAGTTGTCACTCTCGATCGGTTTCGTGTTCCTATGATATCTAATACAGCAATTGGTCTTCACTTCCACAATGAACATTTCTCTTCCGACAATTGTTGGCCAGGGCCGGTGCCCAGCTCCGTTTCTTGAGGCAGATCTCTTTTCATCAACGGATGGCTGTATGTCTCTCGTATTCTTCAGTCCGCTGTACTATGCTGACAACAAATAGTCATCGATGGAAGGTTTTGCTCCAACACCTTAGGGGTTATTTGCTGCCTACCATGTCCTCAGTCGGACTGGCTTTATGGTGACAACATCAGCACCCTCACGGAAGCCGCCAATTGGGTCAACGTAGCAGCAATGATATGCTCTCTGTATTTGTTGATATGTTTTACATTCTTACCGCGGGAGAAGACTCATAGGCATTACCTCAGTATATGCTTGGTTATGGCTACAGTGTTGTTGCAGGTGAGTCCACCCGTCTCACCTCTTCTGTCAACCGTTTTCTAACATAGATCAACTAAAGTTGGGATTCATTGTACCTTTAGGCGCGAAGCCCGAACAATGTTACAACGCGATCACCCCGAATGATATGAGCACCAGCTTCACTTGCGCAATCTCGGGCGCATTCATAATGGCTGGGGGCTGGTGTGGTGTGATGTGGGTCTTCTTAAGGTCTCTGGCCCTACACCTACAGATTTGCTGGCAGATGGTTATTGGGAAGTCATTCATGTGGGGAGCTCTCGCTACTGGATGGGGAATACCAGCTGTTGCATTGACTTTCGGAATGATCTTCAGTGGCGTTTCCTTTCGATTCGGCGATACTTGCCATGTCAATCACGAGAACAGTCTAGCGGATTTCTGGATTCCTCTTCTGATCTTCTCTGGCGCCACCGTTATCATCCAATTCGTCACCTTTGGTTACTGCATCAAGGTATATCTTTCGTCCCTGGCAGATAGTTCAAATACCACGGAGACATCAGGCGTTTTACCTTCGTACACCAACAGTTTACGTACCGTGTCACCACGACAAGCATATCGTCGAGTTCGCCGAGTCATTGAGTTACAATGGAGAGGTATCGCTATCGTACTGGTGATCGTTACCGACGTCGTTTTCTTCGCGATTGTGTTTGTCTTCATGGATGATCTAGAAACGAATATCCTCAAGGATCCTACAAAGGCCGAACAATGGTTAACATGCTTACTTCAAACTGCTGGGGATAGAAATGCATGTCTATCTCTAGCGAGCGCTCTGGTTGTAAACGAGGCCACTGTTGGTGCAGTTCTTGTCATGTTATCCGTAAGTTTATTTTCCTATTCAAACCATTATTTTTCTCAAGTGCTAATAAAGTTCAAGTTGAATGGTTTCTGGGCAGCATTATTCTTGGGAAGGAAAGCCATGTTCACAGGCTGGATTGAGATGTACCGAGGAAAAATGAAGCCCAACAATGAATTCATCAGTGCCGATGTCCACGCCTTCAAGGACCCCAGAGCATACGAAATGCTCAGTAAAGATCGAGACCAACGAGACATTAAGACCGTGGAAGCATACGAAACTCCGGACATAGTGACACCCATCTCACCTCTTCGAAAGAGTGGTCGAGAAACCCCAGACTACTTTGGCAGGGAAGCAAGATACAAATCACCCTCAAGCTCATTTTCCAAACCGAATCCTCCACAATCATGGGATTCTACCTCTACGTATGCTCCGCCCATGGATCCACTCAACATAAACAAAAATCAATCGTGATTTGGCAGTGAGATACGGTTTTAATTCATTTACTTTCAAGCATTTTAGCGATTTTTTCAATGCGGTCTCTTATTTAAGGGGCAAACAGGAGTTGGGTGGCTCGGCGATGCAGCCACTTGGATAGGCGACGGAGCCAAGTTGGATGTAGAGATTACCTTATTATGGACGGGACGGCAAAGCTTTTGAAAGAGGACTTACTGAGATCTGGAAAGATTTGCATGATCACCTACCTACATGGACACGGTCGGAATATAAAAGGAAAGAGGCTTCAAAATCCTTTTCCTTTTCCTTTGTATACTATATACATACATGACGAGATCGGTCGGGCAGGCCGCAGCAAGGACTCGGCTAGAGGTACAGGGATAGATCATGAAGGAAAGGGGTAGGGTATATGATATCAATGAATGCCCTGATACCCATCGATAGATCGAAATGGTCTTCAGACTCACTCACTAGTCAGCGAGATCTAATACTGCTACACTACTCTAGTAGCAGGTATATATAGGAGTATATATAGGAATCTCGAATTCCAAGATGTCGAATCAGACTTGGGCTTTACACGGGTCCTGGTTGATATATATATAATATATATAATGATGATCTGTACTTTACTACTTTACTAGTTAGTTAGTATTCATATATCATGTATCACGAAATTAAATCACATCAAATCAAAAATATTCAAATTAATCGTTTGTGTTTGTTGGTTGGGCCTCTGGTGCTCTGGTGGTAGTGTGCGTGTTGGGTTAGGCTGTGATTCATTCATTGTTCTTCTACTCGAGTATATTTTTTTCTATTTTTTTGAAGGGCCTGTCAGGGGATGTCTGTTAGGTAGGTGCATGGTATGATTTACATCTACGTATGTTGTGGTTTTTTCGGGGGGACGGGGGTTGAGGGATATTTGGAGGGATTTGAAGTGAAGAAAGCTAAGCTAATTAGATTGATGGTTTGTGTACTGATAAAATGTATTGATATACCATTATACGGCGAAAAACTAAAAACTCAGCGTACGAGAATAGAATATCTCAAGGAGAATAATTGGGGACAGAATGTACATTTCCATTATTCTCATCCTTTCTCATTCTATCCCATCCCATGATACTACTTATCCTTACCCTAACCCCTTGATCCTTTTATTTGCATCCTATCCTCACACCCAGCAAATCCTCTCCTATACCTACACACACTTCAACCCGACCTCGTGCCTCATGCTGATTACTACGCAGCCGCTTCCAGATCCTCCACCTTCAACGCACATCCAAACCCACACTCCCAACCCAAACTCAAACTCCCCATTCGATTCTCTCCATCTTAGAGCTAGCTGTTGTGCTGCAGGATCATGATATTCTCTATAGTCTTTATAGTCTCAATAGTCTCTTACACCTACTACCGCAGCTGATATAGCGAATATCGGTATGTATCAAGGCTATTGAATATGAAGGGGGATGGGAGTGACTGATTATTAGTGGGATTCATGGGGATATGTTTTCTGTGGGTTAGATTGTAATTTGTGGAATTGGGAGGAAGGTTCGAGGTTCGAGGTATGGATATGAATATGAATACTTTCACTCACTCTGCTTATGCAGCTGTCTGTCAAACAGTAAGGTGGGAAATTCGAGATAATATCTGTAGAAGAGGATCTTCGAGTAGGCGATATGCACTCATCATGGCTTCCAGTAATGAAGACTCCTGGGGTTCTTTGGAGCAGATCGAAGGATTCTCGAAGATGGTTTTTATGGGCACGCTTCTTATGAGGCTTGATGATTCTTGGGAAGTGTCTATGAGTGGAATCGATTGGTGCTGGAGTATAAGTTTGTGGATGTTGAGGAGTGGCTTGCGGAGCGTTGGAAGGAGATTGTTTGGGATGTGAGAGGTGGATGGTTGGATGGCGAAGCATGGATGTTGTTTATGTGGACTGTTGTTTGGATTGGATGATTTGATGGAAAGAGATTTTCTGCTTTAGAATGTATAACGTGCTGAGTATTGAATTTGCTGGCTGACGATATCATTCATGACATGAAACGAATAATTGTTCAACATAATTTGCAATGATCGGAAGGTCCATGAGATGGGGCTTCAGACGACCCGAGCAAAATTCCCACGCACTTGGAAGACATCTATCTATGGATATCTTACAGGATTATGAAGATTGAATTGAGTTGGTCCGAAACATCATATCTGGGTGCTAAAAATTGCTTGGATCATGACCATGAGAAACTTCAGTCATTTTCTGAAGAACATTGACATTCACAAACTTTGATGAAGGAACACAAGGCGACAAGTGAAGCAGATTGTTGACTCAACAGGAAATCGCGCATGTCAATGAAATGGGTAGGCGGCGTTGCAAGGTATTAAAAATTATTTAAATTCTCTATTGGGTACTGTTGCACAGCTGGTACCCTCATGCCATCTAGGCAATACATCACTTGAGAGAGTGTACGCTTCCCAAAATTCCAAACTATCTTGCAGACCTACCTGTACCTGGAAAGAATAAAACATAGCTGGCATTGCAATGTCTCCCATCCAAACGGAGCGCGGTCATTTTAATATATATCAATATATCGAAATCAAGTCATGCCATAGTTGCACAAAAGTGTCTTCGATATCCAGCAAATCATATCAACCATCCAACGTTTGAAATATGCGACTCGAATTGCTTCTCTAAAAAGAGTGTTCTATTTCTCAAAGTCAGTTATAGATCATGAATAGCTAGCTATGCAGTATGATAAAGAGTAACGACCGAGAAAGTCAATCAGAAGTCCGTTAAGATCATCGTCCCCTCCGCAGAGGTTTCTAAATCAAGAGGTACCAGAAAAAGTAAAAAATAATGTCTCATCATTTAGATTTTCTCGGTCGTGTATGAATAAAAAGGTATTTGCTTACAGTTGAATGAGTGCGCAACTCAATTTGCTATTCCGGATAGTTAATACACAATCTGAGGATTATTCTCAATCAATTGAGTTAGTTGAATTGATCGTTCCTGCTGTTGGTGCAGTCATGTTGCGGTTGTGAAAAAGTTCTGGACTCAAGAAATCTCTTATGATGTTCAAAATACGCTAGACAGTTTTAGGTCTAGCATGTAAAAATCTAGCTCTACCCTACGCTAAGCGAACAGCAATTCACACGAAGATAATATTGCGACGACGAACTTTTCAAACTTTCAACACCTCTCGACAATCTCAACTTAACGACCAGCTTAATCACCGTCGCCAAATCGCAAAAATGGGTCGTCTTCATTCAAACGGAAAGGGAATATCTTCCTCTGCTCTCCCATATTCCCGCGCTCCCCCTTCGTGGCTCAAGACCACCCCAGAGCAAGTTGTCGACCAAATCTGCAAGCTTGCCAAGAAGGGTGCTGCTCCTTCCCAAATCGGTGTCGTCTTGAGAGATTCTCACGGTATCGCCCAAGTTAAGGTTGTTACTGGTATGTGGATTTCCCCACTCTACAATTGATGTGGATGAATTTCGGGATCTATTTGAATACGAGGCTAACTTTTACTCTTACAGGTAACAAGATTCTCAGAATCCTTAAGTCCAACGGTACGATATCCAATATTACATGAATACTTTCATATTTGCCATCATTGGATTATAGTACATCCATGATGTGTCAATTGAATCTTTACCTACGCCTCTGCTTGGTCATAGACTGACAGAGTGACAAAATAGGTCTCGCTCCTGAGATTCCAGAGGATCTTTACATGTTGATCAAGAAGGTATGTCTCTTCCAAATTCCTGGAGCTAACATTGAATTATACTAACCAATCAAATTTAGGCCGTCGCTGTCCGCAAGCATCTTGAGCGTAACAGAAAGGATAAGGACTCCAAGTTCCGTTTGATTCTCGTTGAATCCCGTATTCACCGTCTCTCCCGTTACTACAAGACTGTCGGTGTTCTTGCACCAACCTGGAGATACGAGAGTGCCACTGCCAGCACCATGGTCGCATAGAAAGTTTCACCATAACAAAATGAATATGGAGTTGGGGTGTGGACATATTTACATCACGAATTATACTATTTTCTGAAAAGGAGTAGTTCTATAGTAGTATGAAAACTACATAGCAAATGAAATATTAAGAAACGCTTCCCGGCCTTAGTTTGTATTCAACTACTGATGGCTTATTGTTATGTGATGTGTTAAACTCCTTTAATGCCTGACTCTTAAAATGCTTTTAATATGCTTTGGGGTGTTTGGGGTATAATTATATCCATCCACTATTAATTACCTCCTTCTAATTCCTTGGATTTTGACAATAAAAATTCTCCTAAAACTCGTAAAGGATCTTTGGGTCTATCAAGAAATAGTTGTTAGCTCGTATCCGTTGTAAGGGCCTCCAATCGGCCAACAGCTACCAGGCAGGTACATACTGTTCCTTGGCCAGCAGCTTCATGCCCTCTAGTAAACTTCCTGTAACAGTCTGATTCAAATAAACTCGCGCCGGCGCGCCATGTACACTTGCTTCAGTCGGTAACGATGGCCCTGTGTCCGGATGTTGACTCGTAGCCCTCGACGAATTCTCCGCAATCCCATTTACCTTCGGTACCGGAGTGCTTGTGCGCGCAGGTACCAAAAGCGGAGAAGCTGTCTCGCGATTGATACTCGCAGTCGATATAGAAGTGGACTGATTCGTAGGCGGTAAAATTGGTGAATGTGTTTGAGTGGTAGTTGTTGGTGGAAGGATTGCAGCGGCAGGAGACTGTGATGGGGAAGTATGAGTAAGTATTTCTACTGCAGTGGACAGCCGGGAGAGGAAATGTCCAATTGAAGGGTGGGAGGATTCAGGAACGGGGTGTGGGGGGAGTATAAGGCATACTGCAGGTCTATGAAGAGGCGCATCCTCCATAACCACATCTCGTGTTGCGCCTGGCATTTGGAGGACACCCGAGTTGTTGGATGCTGCGGGTGGTGTTGCGGAATGTGGTTGCGTTTGCATGGCGAGTTGATAGGCGTGGGCGGCGGCGTTGATGCTGGGGGTACTGTTGGAATTTGTTTCGGGGGAAGGAGTGTTGGGTTGGGACATGCTGATGCTGAGGAAGTGGGAAATCGCGTGTGGATTGGTGGTGGGGGTAGGAGTAGGGATCGGAGTTATGAAGAGTTGGTTGTGTGAAGTGAAGGAAGGGGTCAAGGCTTTGTTGTTATTGGGTTGTATGCAATTGCTTGGGGAAGATTTATTTTCTGCCAAAAGACGGTGGAGGAATATACGGTCGCGTACTCATGTGAGTTCGTGTTGTACTCTCGAGTCTCGGGACACGCGATTCAAGTCATGAAGATATGCTCTTGCCATAGTATTATTCAATATGCATGAACCCTTTCTCTGTATATAGATATCTTCCAGTATAAAGGTATTCGAAGAACTTAAGAACGCCAATCATAACGTTATGTTAGGTCGACGAACTCAACGTAAGATACCACAAGAATTCAAGGATAAATTATTGCCACCCTCAAAACGTCTGAAAACTGTGGAAAGTACAGACGGTGAAGATCTGAGTTCTCGATGTCCTTCTGATGAAGACGAAGAATTAACTATATCCCCACGAAGCCGAAGTCCAGTTTATCGTAAGAGAACGGAAATCCCTGATTCGGAAGATGATGATGGGGATGGGGATGACGAGGTGGATCAGATTGTGGCTTCGAGGGTGACGGAATTGGAGAATGCATTACCACCAGTTGATATTGATAAGAAAGCAATTGCCAAATATGAAACAATGCGTGCTGAGGATGAGAACCTTCCGGATGATCTCAAGTCGAGATTGAATCAAAAGACTTGGGAGAGGGGTAAAAGTAGTATCTATAGTGATGCTTTCAACCTTGCACTGGAAACTGTGTTGGAAGATGAAGGACATCTATTTGACGAAAAGGAAATGGAGGTTTTCAAGCAATGGAGAGAATTAGATTATGAGTCTCAGTATTTGTAAGACGCAATTCCTATCTCACAATTGTGGTACCTCGAGGGCTAATGAAGATAGGTATGTACGTCTTTTCTTGCGGAAAACTTCCACATGGCATCGTATCAATCGTTTGGGTTATCATGGTGATTTGACAGATGTTCCTGCAACCTCGAAAGTTCTACAGTCTACTCAAGGCTTACCAGAATCAACAGCGACAGTTCAAGTCAATCCAGCGGAATTGGAACCTCCTGAAGGAACCATTCTCGACGACTCGTTTACTTTTGCTGATTCCTCAGAAGAACAGATCAAAACTTTAGATGAGGCATTATCTCTGCTAAATCTAGATGAGCTCAAGGGCCTCGCAAAAGAACTCAAGGTTCAAGGGAAGAACAAAGCCGATATCCTAAAAGTACTTCGTGAGACGAGTCAACGTCAAACTGGTCTCGGTTATGTTGGTCTGAAAAGGGCTGACAGTGCTTCAAAATCAAAACCAACCACCCCAGATGGATCGATCCCGGAAGAAGAAGATGATAGTCTGGATCATGTGAACAGAGATGTTCATTTCCTCAGAAAGATCATGGCTATCACAGGACCTTGTATACGACTTTCCCTACCAGCTCTAAACTTATTTGAACGAGTCCATCTCGTGTTCTATAGATCTACTGATTGGACTGACAAATCCCTAACCACCATCATTCTAGCCAGAATCTCTCGCCGTAATTTCCCTTCATACATCGTCTCACGATCCACCAATATCTTCCCCTCTCGCTCCACTCTCCTAGAATTCGAATCTTCAATACGAACCCAATACCGTGTCGATAACATCCTCGAAAATGGTAACCCCGGCAAATCCGGACTTGACCAAGTAATGGAAATCTTCGAAGAAGTGTACCCCCGCTGGAAAGTTCTCTCAGCAGAGGAACAACGCAAAGAAGATAGCATATACGAAAGTGGAGAAGGAGCCTATCTTCGTCGCTTCTCTCCTGCTTGGGTATACACACGAATTGTGCATAAAGGTCTATATGTGATCGGCCGTTTGAAACACCACGAGAGAGAACATGCTTTACTGTCCGAACTTCTCAACCAAAAACTTTTCCATTCTGCCCGGAGAGGTGCATGGTACCAACGAAAAGCTCTTTTGGAAGAACACTACATGTACACACTACAACCACCACCCGGAGTCGAAGATATCGAACAGCAAAAACGCCACTGGAAACGTATATCTCTCAAGACCTGTGAACAGGGACTTCAGGATAGATATTGTCATTCGATCTACCACTACGATCTACAAAAACGCATCCGCAAACTCGAGAAGAATCTCAAGATCCCCAAAAGAGAGAAACATGATTTCGGCCACGTAGTCCTCACCAAACCCATCGAACTCACAATCCAAGGAATCCAAGTCAAGAAACAATACCTAACCCCCACTACCTTGCGTCGTCGTGCCAGCGCCCCAAATGGTATCGAAGAGCGTCAACGCAGTACAAAAACCATCTGGATAGATGAATATGAAGGCGACGGCACATCGGAATGTTCCGTCGAGGAACTCTGCTTAAGCCATTACCGCAAGCAGGGACTAAAAGGTTATCACTCCGAAGGCGGTATCCTCCGCACCCTCTTCGCATTTCTCTTCTTCGACATCCTCTTCCTCTATATCCCTAACGTCTTCCAAACGGAATACCAAACGTGTCCCTTGGATTTACATACCGATGGGTTTTTCGCAGCGCGCGCGTCTGAGATTAATCATCGGATCGTGGAGATTGAGAATGGGAGGGCCGGCGACATTATTCGCGAAGTGTGGAACAGGGAATCGGAAAGGAAAACTTGTGTGGTGGGTCTGCGGTGGGAGTTTGACGTGCATGATTTATTAGAGATTGTAGAGTGTTTTGGGGTGGGGTTGGGGAGAGTCATGAGGGTTATGGCGGAGGAATATAGGGTTCGGGGAGGTGGAGTCCCGGATTTATTTTTGTGGGATTTGGGCGTGGATGAGGATGAGGATGAGGATGAGAATGAGAATGAGAAAGATGAAAACAAACTTGCTACAGCAGAAAACATCAAAGAGGAACAAACCAAAGAGAAAGACAATAAACCCCCCACAAAAGAAAGAAAGAAAGAAGTAAGATTCGTAGAAGTCAAGAGCGAAAATGATAGGTTGAGTGATACGCAGAGAATGTGGATTCATGTTTTGATGGGAGCGGGGATTCGCGTGGAGCTTTGTAATGTGGTTGCGAGGGATGTGAGGGTTGTTGATGTTGGGTGAGGGGGTGGGTGGTGGGTTAGGTGAAGGGCTGGATGGGTTGGATGCTGCAGTGGTTGGATGAGTAGTGTGGTCCGGAGTAGTCCGGAGTGGTTGGACTAGCTAGAGTTGGAGTGGAGTAGTGTGGTCTGGTCTTTTTAGACTAGATTACCTAGCCTAGATACCTAGATACTTGTCTGGACTCTAGCTTGATTAAAACGAATTATCTAATCAATTTAGACTAATCCAATCCCAATCTCAATCCAATCCCACTCTAAACTATAATCTGCCACTGGCAGTGAGTGTACTGTATATAAATTGTAAACAACAGTGATCCCATCAAAAAAAAAAGGAAGAAAAAATGAACTCTGATCTAGATCTAATCACAAACCTTCTAGAACGAATCATTTACTCTTCTTTGATGATAGATAGTAGTATAGCCATATCAATGTCAATATTAATATTAATATTATGCTATATACTCATACCCTAATCTCACACCTCATACACTTCCTACACCTCACCTCACCTCACTTCACACTTCACCTACTACTCCTCTCACTTCACCTCACATCACCTACTCTTACCCATCACTCCACTTCACTTCTCCTTACATACCTCTCACCTCCCCTCACACCTCACCTCACTAAAACAAACCAAACCAAATTAGTGAACCCCCAGTAACACTAACCACTACTCATACATACTCGAGTACAACTTATATACAACTTACACACAAGATATACTCGAGTACTTAATAATAAATTACTCACCAATCACTCATCAAGCACTCATTCATCAAGCACTCGCTCACTCACTCACTCACTATCCATACTATTAGTTGTACTCAAGCAATACAACACACACATACAACACACACATACACACATCCCATCCAATCTAATATAATATAATAATTGAATATAATTTTTATTTCTCCACTTTATTTACTCTGTTCACTCCCTCACTCTCTTCACTCTCTGCACTCTCTACACTAACTTTTTCATCCCCATCCTTTTCTTCTTCCCAAACCCTTCTTTCCTCCCCCTCGTCATATCTTCATCCCTTCCCTACCTATACCATCTCCCGCCTTTCCCACCTTTCCCACTACCCTCAGCTTCCTATCTAACCGCTTCCTTCACCTTCACTTTCACCTCCACCTCCACCTTCAACCATCAAAAACAAGACGAGAAAAGAAATAAATAAAAAATGGTATAATTTTAATACATTACTATCTTACTATCTCGCGTATCCACTCTCCACTCCACTTTCGCCCTCCCTTTCCTCACGCGAAATGAAATGAAAATGAAATGAAAACGAAAACGAAACAATCATACATGAGGCTCTGTCTGTAGTTGCGCAAAAGATATTCAGATCTGCTTTAGCATTTTTAGCTATCTAGCTATCAAAAATTTCCATTCCACGCCTAATTCCACCTTTCGCAGTCTTTGTGACGGTGACTGTAGGATGTGTTTCATTTCCCATCTTTGTACAAAGTAAAGTAGGTGGTGAGAAAAAGATTTCGAGTTGTATTGTAATATGTCGGAAGAATTTGTTGGTGTAAAAAACATTAAGCCTTGCTGTAATGCGGGAAATAGAAGGCAACTGGTAACGCCACTGGATCTGCATAACTGCCGAAAAAAATTAGGGAAGCAAAGCGGATCGCTCCACGGAGCAAGTAGAGGCGTCACTTTGATGTGTAAAACTCCAAATGGGTATGCTGAAACAATGAACAATAAAAGAAAAATAAAGAAAGGCATATTAGCCTATCCAGAACGCCTTCAAACCAAGCCCCCTCCCCTCCCATTTGCGCCGTCGTGACACTGTCGTTTCAAATCATGGGTGCTTTTTCGGCTGCTCGACCTTGACCTAGTGAGCTAAATAGTTGTTGTGGAGGTATTCTTGACATTCCATTATTTCGATCGTAGCTGTTCGTTGGTGCAGGCATATAACCCTCACGTTTTCTTCTGATACGTTCTGCCAGTACACCGGCAATGACAAGAAGGAATATTAATGCGAGAGATATTGCTAGAGCAATAAGTACAACCAAGCCAATCGCGAGATGACCACCTGTGATGATGTTAGAGGGTTGTCCCAAAATAACTCGATGATGATTACTTACCTGATGATTGAAAAAAGTTATTCTCTTGAGAGAAAATGTGCGACAGGCTACCTCCGGTATTTGAAGTACTGCCTGTGAGTGCGAAAGGTTCAAAGGTGGTTCCGTTGAATAGAACTGCCGAGACGTTACCAAAGGTGGGCAGCACCATGGCACCAGTAACCATCAAAACTTGATTGGAAGGAACAAGCTCGGAGTCATCGTGATTTGATGTAAGAGGCATCATCTGAAGACCACGAATGACTGAGCCACTTTCGAATACATCCCCAACCGAGAACCAGTTTGTGCCATCATACTTCATAATGAATGCCGATCCATTAGTTGCAGTACCAGCTACCCAGTATTGTGAAATATCACTAGTCGCTGGGACAATAGAGGTAACTGTTCCTGGGATGGCATTTGCACCAGTAGCGGTGGTCCACGTTTGACCCTTGGTATCGTAAGTTGCTAAGGATGCATTGGCTCCATTGACTGTCAATGACCCGCCAACAATAAGAGATGCATCGCTGGCCCAAAGCATGGTATTCACAGTGCCTTCAAGGTTTGTTCCTGGACGATTCCATTGTGATGCAGAGGCTGTAAATAGGCAGACTCCTGGGCAATCCAGAGATCCGGCTTCAGTGAAGCTTCCGCCAACATATACATCACCATTCTTCGTCCTGACAGCAATGTCATTGACTATAGCCGATTTCCCGCCGAGTGCTGGTGTTTGCGATGCAAATGTTGAAGTCTTGAGATTGTATAAAATGAGCCCATTGATCTTTCCTCCGCCAACAGTGCCGGTAACAGAGCCCCCGGCATACAGCATATCGTCTTGTATGGCCAATGCATGGAAAGTGGAGTCTGCGTCGATCTGAGACCCAATTCCTGTGACCATGTTGTCATTCGCGCCATCAATAAAGACAAGGTTATTGACATCGGTGCCATTGGTGGAAGTTGCAGTAAAATGACCACCAAGAATTGTAACATTCCGTGAGCCACTCTCATAAAACAGTCCGGTAACAACACCGCTAACGTTTTGACTGGCAGTATCTCTCTTTGATAAGGTTGATGTAGACTGTGGTTGAGAAGCTTGGATATTAACAGGAAATGGGCTCAGTCCTGGTGAAAGAGAAACTACTCCATTGACGGCGAGTTGTGAGGATGAAAGCGAACCAGCAAAAATGTAGTCGCCGGAAGCATTCACAGCGGCAGTGAGCTGACCATTGATAGCCATAGTCGCAAGATCAAGATTTTGTAGCCAATTGTCGTGTGATGGCACCCAAATGGCGAAACCAGAGACGGCTACAGAAGAATTGCTTCCAAATGCAAGGAGCTGGTCAAAATCTCCAGTCAAGGTAATTACAGTCTCTGGTTTGTTAGTGGTGATGTTCATTGATATTGGTACCACTGATGAAACTTGTCCGTTGACACCGGCGCCCAATGCGCTCCATTTGTTCTGTGTTGTATCGTAAGCGGCAATATTGCTCAAACCTGCAGTGGTAGTTGAGACTGTATTACTACTGAAGTTGCCAGCAACATATAGGATCGTGTCATTAAGAAGCATAGTAAGGACCACCCCGTTTAAACCACCCGAAGCCAATGACTTGACACTGGTGCCTGAAATCGAGAATATGTTTTGGTATGATGTTGCAGAAAAGTTTCCTCCAACAAAAGTAGTGCTGCCAGAAGTCACAACTGCGTTGACCTCAGCATCATCGTTGAGGCTCATACCAGCTTGATCGACAGTGTTGTTCTGGAAATCGGAAGTGTTAATGACGGTTTGGCTTGGATCAAATTCGAAAAGACCATTCAATCCGGTGCTAGTCGCATTGTTCAAGATGAATCCAACACGTTGAGCTACAATCGTGAAATTCTCGGAATTTCCAGGTATTTGACCACTTGGAGTAAGGGTCACTGAGGGGCGGAAGGAACCGCTGGCAGCCTGTATATAACCAGAGTATATTTGGTCATACTTGTCGTAGTCATTGGACTGGAAGAGGGTAATCGGTGAACCAAAGGTTGCGGTTGTGGTTGCACTAGTTGTCCCACTAGCCACAGTTCCATTTACAACCACAGATCCCCGGCTTGAGCATGTATTATCTTGAATACATCCAGGTGTGTACATCTTTACTGTATAGTTCCCAGACTCTCTGATGTTTGGGTAGAATACCACAGAAGCTGAGCTTGCTGTGTCTGCCGTAAATTTACCAGTGAGGTACTCTGCGATACTTTGGAACGAAGGGCTGACAGTCCAAGGTCCTGTATTTGAAGCGTTCGAGGCAGTGGATAAAGAAGCGCATGAAGGCTCGTTGAAATCGTTGATTGCATAGGAAAATATATCATCCTGGAAAAGCTCAATACCATCCAAACCACCTCCACTACCGTACCAAGCAGAGATATCGATCTGAAAGGCATCCATGCCAACTGAATTCACAAAATGAAAGTCCTGGTATGGAATACTGGTATTGCTGCTCAATGGGCATTCGGAAGTGCATGATGCATTAGAGCCCGTAGCTGGATCGATATAGGTGAAATTCATGATTCCGTTGATCGGTTGAGCTGTGTATCTCCAGGTTTTGGTACCTCGACCATCTAGATGTGTATTCCATAACCTCAGCTTGGTAGGTTGAAAGCCGAATCCGAATGTAGCTTTCCAAATCCCAGCAGAATCATCTTTCAGTAACCAACTATCTCCGGAGCCGTCAATGCCACCGGTCTTGCATACAATATTTGTTGGATCGCCAAAGCCAGAAGTTGTGGTTGAGCCGCTGCTTGTGATATTGGCGCCGGAAATATTGACAATTTGCTGATCAGTTGTGTTACTACTACTTTTACTGGTGATTGTTGCAGTAGAGTTTCCTAGTCCTGTGAAAGCCCCACCGAAGATGATATTCCCATTCGAAGCCTTCGAAATTGAGTTGACCCGCCCGTTAAATCCAGAAAATGGAAGGGCGACCAATGTATGGTCCACCAACTTGATTACATTTGAAGAATTCGTAGAATCAAAGTAACCTCCAATGTAGACTGCGTTGGTCGATTCGTCGCATAAGAGTGCCGAAACGGATCCTGATAATCCAGGAAGTGCAGTGATGGCCGATGTATTCGAGTTGAACAATGCAATGCCTTGTGACTCCACATTTCCTAAGCTCGTGAAGTTACCTCCAATCACGACACCCACGAGAGTGCCATCCGATTTGACATATGAGCACATAGCTGCGATCGAAGCATCGGCAGATGCCAAGGCGTCGAATTCACCTGTTGGAAATCGTGCCATGACTGACTGGGTGGTGGTGTTGTATCCATCCTCGGTTTGTCCCTTGAATTTGTATAACGATATACCATCGAAATCTCCACCAAGTCCTACACGACCTAAGTTCGAAAGATCGAGGTTGGCGGATGGAGCCGGTTGGAAAGTAATCGCAGTCGATAATGGTGTTAATGTCAACAGGATGGAGAAGCCTATCATAGATAATGAGTGACTAGCCGATGGACTCGGCCATGATGAGAACCGCATTGCTGTTCCCCTCTTAATAGTATTAATTTGTGATTATTCTTGGTGCGGGTCTGTGAGAATTGAAAAGCTCAATAGCTTCTTCTCCTCCACTTCCCGAGATAATTGCATTGACTGGACGCGCAACCCTTATAACATTTGATAATCCTTCTTTATGGTGTACAAATTGGTGGAGAAATTCCCTCGAGGTTGTATTGAAGAATTGCCGTTTCGTCTTTCTGAGCATGTAATGGATGTTGTGTTGGTGTCGAAGCTTGAGAAGGAATCTAAGGTGATAGTAATCTCACAGTCCTGGAAGGCAACTCGACTCGATTGGATCGGACTAGATTCGCGTATTGGGCTAATGAGATGATAAATAACTATTTTTTCTTTTGCGCCAACTCAAAGGGTGGGCCTTGGGTGTTCAGGAACCAGGAACCAATTCAAACGGCTGGCTGGCTGTCTTACAACTGTTATAAGAGAGAATCCTCCCTTGTTGCTGATAACTTTTAATTCGCAAGATTTGGTGGAAATTTCAATGATAAAAATCGTCTGTAAGGGAGATGATCTGTCAAATGTTTTTGATTTCCTTCCTATGATGTTATTTTCTCGATATATCTTTATCGTTTGGTCGTTGATTGCGCAGTCTTCAGAATCAGAAACTAGTTGAAAGTTTGGTGGAGTCTGTCTTAGATAGAAGTGTGTTGCTCGGAGCTCTGAGTATAACAAGCGAGATTGGATGTTTGAATCGATGGCTGAATATGTGGTGGGTGAATCAGATAGGATGGATGGAACTTCTTGGGTGATATAAGAACGGTAAAAACGGTCTGAAAAGCCTATAAATGAAAGTGGGATTGATGTTGGAAATGAGTGACGGTTGAGTTGATATTCTGTTGTGCTTCAATAGTAGAAGAGAGAGAAGTTAGTTCTGCTGTACACAAATCTTCATTCATATCTATCCCGGCTATCGGTTTTTCTTTTTCCTTTTCTCTTGCATAGCTGATGTGAACAAACAGGAGTTGTCTGAAGATGATTCGATAATCATTATATGCACTGGAATGCAAACGGGTGTAAACAGGGGGGAATAAATGTGACACGTACCGGTCCTACTTGTGCAATGAATGAATAAATGAATGTAGTTTGGGCAGCAGTAGCAGTCGCAGAAAAACAACGAAGAGATCAAAGACTAAACACAACACAACACAAGAAAAGGTTTTGATAAGGAAAGGAAGGTTTTTGATTTGAAAGAGTGACAAAAGTGAGTGTGTATTGAAATTGAAGATTGTTTATTACCCAGTGTTACAATTTAGGAGTAAAAGAACATTTTGGGAATGGGTGGGAAATGAAGATCAGGAAAGCACAGAGACTTTGGACATTCATTTTACATTTTCGGATGAGGGTGAAACCATCAAGGCCCCATTTGTACTTGCCCAAATAAGATAAAGGACTACATCTGGTAAGATTTGTTTGATTTTCATAAAGGAGGATTGTGTTAACAAAATAAATGAAATAAACTATGAATAGTATCTATTTATGTAATCCATTTACAAACATACAAACATTTAAACATTCAACTACTGCGCCATGAATCTATATCATAACTTCTACCAATACACATTACTCCTACATTCTTCAACTGATTACCATAGATCATTCTTAGGAATGTAGCCAATCTACAACCTCAAATTTTGTGAATCCCAGCATCTTTCAAACATCAAAAACCATGAAGTTGTCTCCAGTGCTTGCTGGCACAAAGATTCCATCCATTACCTTGAGGAAAGCCCTAAAATGTTATGCATGAAGAAACTCATGATGGTTCAGGTTCATCCCTTTAATACTTCATATATCAAGATTGGACACAAGGATTTCAATGTTTATCTTATCAATCATATCATCAATCATTAATTACCCCTTAGAAAGGAACATTCTATATCAACATGCTAATATACCACTCTCAACCTACCTCTCTCAACTTTTGAATCTGGACAGAGAAATACATACATTCAGTTGTCCCCTCCTGTAACATCAAATGCTAAATGGGGTATCATACTTCATTCATTTCAACAAATTAGCAGCAGCCGTAGTTCTGGTCTTGTAATCCCTTGGACTTTCAAAATCCTTTTTCTTTCCCGACCACATTCCCAATTTCTTCTTCTTGGCCTGTTCCTCTATTGCCCGATATTGAGCCTCGAATTCTCCAAATTCGGCACCCATCTTAGCCTCATAAACCGTAGCCATCCCCGCCTTCAACATTTCCTTTCCCACGTCCTTCCGAATGAGAAATCTTCTTACCCAGACTGTAGCTACCACGCGATCATACTGGTCGCGTTTGTAAATGTAGGCGCGCACTCGACGATTTGAAACATATTCTTTAAGCCAGGCTAAAGCTTCTGACGAGAATGGTTGAGCGGGTTTGCCAAAATGAGCTCCTTCCGGCGCGTCGACTCCTGCGATTCGAACGTGAATCTGTATATATCAGCTTTTGTATAAAATGATGAATCAAACAAACATTGTTAGGTACTCACCGTCTTGTTTTTCAACTCTTTCCCCTCAGGCAAGTTTCTTCGTCCTGGCAACCATCCCCAACCCGCCAGTCTGCCACCAGGCGTATGAAATAGATGAAAATTATCCGCATCCCCAACTCTCGTCACTGTGCCAAACAAACTTCTTTTTCTAAAGAATCGCGGCCGTATATATGCTGCCTCTGGAATGCGACGCAAGTAAGAGCGATAAAGGCGCGTAGAGACCAAAACGGTGGTTGTCAACAAGAGTGCCGGTATCAGGGTTCGCGGATCCGTATAATGCCTCCAATCCGTGGCGTTAAGGCTATCGCCCCATGAGAATGAGGACTTGGCGTCATCTTTCTCCTTAGATTTTGAGTTGAAATCTAGCCATCCCATAGTGTCGAGGGGCAGTACCGGTCAGTACTGGTCATAAATTGATGTGAATGTGGGGAAGGGTCGCTGCTGCTTAATGTCGACAAGGGTCATTTTATGATCCGAGCTTCTGAGAAAAGCGAAATTGATAATTCAAACATTTAAAAACAAATCGGATGAAAACTTAATATAAGCTAGGAAATAATTGTCCAAGAGCCTTTGAAACAATGGACCAATGGTCTGATGACCAGACTGGATGGTTATTTGTGTAAGTAAATACTAGAGGGGAAGCTTCCTTCATCTACTCAAGTACAGCAGTAATGAGAAGTATATGTATTCAATTTTACTCGTAGTGTAGTATACATTTATTATACAGTGTTTATACAGCTCATAACATACCAGTACTTAAATCTTCCTCCTTTTCGCTCTTTCACTTCTTGCCGATGGCTTGGATACTTTTACTTCTTCTTCCACGAGTTTAATCTCCTCTTCACCACCCTCGCGCTTAATCATCACCTTCTCTTCTTCCTTGACCTCCATCTCCTCCGAAGGATACTCGCGCTTGACTGCCACTTTCTTCTCTAACCTATCCCCATTTTCCTGTTTAACTTCGACTTTGGTGGCAATTTTATCAGAAAATGTTTTCAAGTCTGCCGCAAACAAGACCGAATGTGCCCAGCCAGCCTCTTTACCCCATAAATCTCTAAAGTGATCGCCAATCGCATCATATGTAGCTTTGGTGAGACTCTTGGTCTTCCCTTTCCCAAATTTGTAGTCCCTTTGAGCAATTTGCCAGACGTGAGTGTCGACTGGAACCGCCTCGCCCCACCCCAAACCCATCAAGCAAACGCAGTCAGCAACTTTCGGGCCAACACCTTGAAGCTCTAGGAGCTCCTCATGTGCTTTCCTATACCCAGGACGACCTCCTGCTGGAATCTCCCCTTCAAAGGGCTCCTTAAAAGTCTCTACGTTGCGAAGATTCTCGAGCCAGTCTTGCGGCTTCGATGCCACAATCGATGCTGTTTGCGCAATGTATTTTGCTCGATACCCAAAGCCTAGTACACGGAGATGTGACTCTACTCCTGGACTATTCAAGGCTTCAGGTTTTGGGAAGTCATGAAAAGGTTGATCACCAATATGTCCGATCAAAGGGCCATAATGTAAACAAAGATTGTTGACCTACAGAGAACAGTCAACAAGATACTCTGAAGCTTGGCAATCAGACACATACCATTTGGGAAATCCTTATAATATTATTATTACTACTGCAAATAAATCCCACCAAAGCCTCCCAAGCATCTTGCTTGAGAATACGAACCCCAGTGAACTTTGGTGCTCTTTTCTTGAAATTTGGGTCGACTAATGACCATTGCTCATATAATTCAGTCAGATTCGGTGAAAGATTTAGGTAGTGCCGAAGCAAAGATTCAGTTTCTTCATCCTCTCCAAGCTCTTCCTTTTTAGCCAAAAGTTGAGGACTTAATGGCACTTTGATTTCAGGAAATATTGTACGATAATGAAGATGAGTTGAGTCTTGTTTGAGGGAAAGGATACGACCATGAAGTGAACAAGACCTATTCAAAGTTAGCCCCTTTCTTAACTTCTTCAAAGAGTCGCGTACCAGTAATCTTCATCTACAGCTTTCTTCCATCGAAAAGATTGTCCACAACGTAATGTAGTATCTATACAAAGCTCTGCCAGAGTCACCGGAAGCTTTCTCCATTCTGAGATCCTCAGATTGCCCATCGTAATAAAAAGCTGATTGTGATTTTATGATTTTATGATTTTATGATTTTATGGGGGTTGGGTGAACTCCACCTTGGCGCGCTTCACCAGGGCCAACGTTTCTAATCTTAGCGCGAAATTCGAATGAAGTTCGCGACAGCTTCTACAAAAATTCCGTCTAGATTTTGAGCTTGTCAACCACAACCAAAAATTGCTTTTAATTTTCTTTAAAGAATATCCTGGATCGGAGCGCCAATATGAACGGCGATACTTATTCATCAAGAGGCATGGCACCTTCAACGACAAAACCTAAAAGGGAGGAGGGACCTACTACTGACAAAAAAGCATCAACAGATCGACATGGTGGTTCATCAAGAGAATATCATGTGAGTATCCTTTATCAATTCCTTCAGGTGTAATTTATCTGATAAAATATAGTCTCGAGATGATCGACGTGGTGGTGATAGAGAGCGACGACGCTCGCGCTCCCCGGGACACAGAGGCTCCAGAAATCCTCGCCGGGATGGAGAATTAGATACACGGGATACTTACTCAACAAGTCGTGAATACAGGGAGCGCGAACGTGAAGATAGATACTCTGGCAGGGAACGAAGAGGTGGCGGCGGCGAAAGAGAATGGGACAGAGATCGTGGAGCAGCAAGGCGAGATGCTAGAAGGGACGATGATGAAAGACCGCCGCGCAGAGACAACAGAGATCTATTTGACGAAAGACGTGGTGGTGGTGGTGGTGGTGGCAGAAGGGGTGGTGATCGAGGCGACCGAGGTGACCGAGGTGACCGAGGCGATCGCGGAGATCGTGGAGATCGCGACGGAGGGTTTGCAGCTCAACGAGCCGCCAAACGAGAGAAGAGCGCAAGTCCTCCACCAAAGAAGAGGGAGCCTACACCAGATTTGACGGACACTGTACCGATTTTGGAGCGCAAGAGGAGATTGACACAATGGGATATTAAACCCCCAGGATACGAGAATGTTACTTCTGAGCAAGCTAAACTTTCCGGCATGTTCCCACTTCCAGGAGCACCAAGACAACAACCAATGGATCCAAGCAAGTTACAAGCTTTCATGGCACAGCCTAGCGGATCGGTCACCAATGCGGCTCTCAAGCCTTCTAATTCCAGACAATCGAAACGTCTTCTTGTCCACAACATTTCCGCTGATACTAAGGAAGAGACTCTTGTAGGTTTCTTCAACCTTCAGCTCAATGGATTGAATGTTATAGAAGGCTCCGATCCTTGTATCTCGGCACAAGTCTCAAAGGACGGCTCATTTGCTTTACTCGAGTTTAAGGCACAATCCGATGCTACTGTCGCTTTAGCATTGGACGGAATCATCATGGATAATATTGACCATATGAAAACAGAAGATGGCGCCGCAGATACCCCAGGTCTTACCATTCGTCGTCCAAAGGATTACATTGTGCCAGCGGTTACTGATGACACACCACCACTCGAGCCAGGTGTGGTTTCTAATGCTGTCGCTGACACTCAAAATAAAATCAGCGTTGCCAATATTCCTCAATACTTGAATGACGAGCAAGTCACAGAGCTCCTGGTGTCCTTCGGAGAGCTAAAGGCATTCGTATTGGTCAAGGATAGCAGTACAGATGAATCAAGGGTAAGTACACAAATACATGGCGTCAAGTAAATACTAATATGGTTTAGGGAATCGCTTTCTGTGAATACGCGGATCCTGCCGCAACGGACATTGCTGTCGAGGGACTTAATGGTATGGAGCTGGGTGACAAGCACCTTAAGGTCCAGAGAGCTAGCATTGGTAACACCCAAGTTTCCGGTTTGGAGATGAGCGTCAATGCTATGTCTATGCTTGCTGGTACCACATCACAAGATCTTGAAAATGGCCGAGTATTGCAATTACTCAACATGGTGACTCCCGAAGAACTTATCGATAATGAAGATTATGAGGGTAAGAGTTTTGTTGTCGATTTGTTTTTATATTTGCTAATTTTAATATCTAGAAATCTGCGAAGATGTGAAGGAAGAATGCGAGAAATATGGCAAAGTCCTTGATATGAAGGTCCCAAGACCAACTGGTGGCAGTAGACAATCAACTGGAGTTGGTAAGATCTTTGTGAAGTTCGATACTCCAGACTCAGCAGGTAAGGCTCTCAAGGCCCTCGCAGGCAGGAAATTCGCAGACCGCACTGTCGTCACTACATACTTCCCCGAGGTAAATTTGAAGTTTCGCCCCTTTTACTTGCAAATCACTAACTTCCCAAAAAGGAAAATTTCGAAGTCAGCGCTTGGTAGATGCTTCACTCACCAATCCACTACCACGGCTGCATTTCCACCCTTACCTTACTCCCTATCCCCCTCATACTTCGTACTTACTCATGAAATGAAATGATGGCGAACCTTGATCTTTCAAATACATTGATACAATACAAAACTCATACCCAAATTCATACTCATACTCATACTCATACTCATACTCAACGCGGAACCTCTCGGCGCACAAAACAAATATCTCTCTGTACTTTTAACTTAATGTCTTCGACCTCTTAGTATTCAGTCTCAGGCACGATATAGGAAGGAAGGAGTCTTTAACATATTTCCAGAAAAAAGTAAAATATTTTCCACATTGTTTTTTTTTCTTTTTCCTTCCTAACTTGACCTCTTTACTTTACTTTACTGTAGGCTGGCTGTTTTGAGATGTGCTATTTGCTACTTGCTACTAATGAATTTTTTGGGGGTCTGTTGTGATTTATGATTTATTGTTTTAGGTGATGTTGATGTTGATGTTGATGTTGATGTTGATGTTGATGTTGATGTTGATGTTGATGTTGATGTTGATGTTGATGTTAATGTTAATGTTGATCTTAAGATTGATTTTTGCGAATTTATAGTGATTTGAATATATAACATGATATGATATGATCGACTAATTAGCTGGTAGCTAATTAGTAGTCAGTAAGTAAGGAATTTCGACTGGATGGAAATGTACTCAAGTATTATTATTTCTATTTCTATTTCTATTTTCTATTCATATTTATCTATATAAAATTTATCACTATGAGCTCGCTCAAGCAATCGGATGGATGGATAGTATACTCGAGTATACATGACATCCATTATCGCTCAATATCCTATCCCTACGCTATTCCTTTTCCTTCTCCTTATTCTATTCTTCTTCTTCTTCTTATTCTGTTTTTTTTTTTTTTGTTTTTGGAATTACACTTGATATCGCTGTTGTTATTATTTGTATTAAAAAATTCTTTTTACTACTAGGTATGCTTGGTGCTGGTAGTATGGGTGTTGGTATTGGTATGAGTACATCTAGTGCTTATCTATAGATGGTTCTCTGTGATTATTACTTTACAGTAGTACTACCTGAGTAGGTAAAATGAATAGCTAGCTCTATTTAGCTGTCTATGGATCGGATTTAGTGGATAGATATATATATGCATAGATGATTTTGTTGTGTGATGTAGGTAGGTAGGTAGGTAGGTATTTCTGTTGGTTTATTGTGTACGAGTAAATTTATGTTGAGTATGAGCTAAGAGCTAGGAGCTCGGTTTGATGTTTCATGGGTGGTGTGGTGTGGTATTATTGGGGTTGGGGTTGGGCTCGAGGCTGGAGGAGGAGGTGGATATGGATATGGATATGGATATGGAGGTGGATATGATATGATAGGATAGCTTGGGATATGTATATTTGGGGAGAGATTGGCTTGGATTGGGTACCAAGGTATTTATTTGAGCGTATAGTGTATAGTATATTGGATGTTATATATCTGTGTTTCTTTCTGTGTATTTAGAAATTCAAACTGCAAGAGGAAAGGGGGATAGGAAAGGGGGAAAGAGGACGAGAGGAAAAGAGGAAAAGAGGCAAATGGAGAAAGAGAAGAGAGGATCGCAGAGCTTTCTCCAATCTAATCAATCTCTTGGTAGGAATTTCAACAGTACAGCGATGCATACAGTACATGCACCTGAATATCTATCTAGTCAGTTTCATACCCCATATACTCAGCAACCTATGTCAGTCTACAGAATGCAGTTGTATACTCTACTTGAATAAATTTTGATTCTCTGCGTTTGTTAAATCTGGTTTATATACCTAGGTACATGTAATGTTATTTCTGAATGTTACAGACTTACATAACAGTCAGAGAGTGGTTTTGAAGCGGTTAACCTAGCGTTCGATGGATTATGGATTATGGATTATGGAAATAGATGATTCCGAGAAACTGGGAGGAGTGACGAGTGTGAGGTTTTTGAATTTGTGATGAGTTTGGAATGATGTATGTGTAAGAAAGAGACTGATTGGTGAGATGTGGTGAGATGAGATGAGATGAGATGGGATGGGATGGGGGAGCTTGTGTTGAGTTAATGAGTTAATGAGGACGAGTATTTGTATTGGATTGAGTACAGAGTACATGATGGGAAGGTATGCGGAGTAAGGCTTCTGGCTGGACTGGAGTTGATGTGGAGGGTGTGGTAGATTAGGTGCATAGTGATAATAATAGGAATGCCAGGATTCGATATATAAAGGGTTGAATTAATTTTGATTATGGGTGTGCAGTATCACTGTAAAGACTAACTACAAGGATTCTTTTATCTTTTAAGAGAGGAAAGCTGGTGGATTATCTAGAAGATAGATTGTCAGAGAGAGGTAGATTAGTTGGTTCAAAGGAAAAAGGAAAGGGAAATTTGGGATTGGATTTTAGGTTTCCATTTGGGCATGAATATGGGAGATGCGATGCGATCGGGAATTGGAGAGTATATAGAACAGGAAATGATATGAGGATTGAAGATGTGAACTGTAAAGAATCTATGGTAGGGTATTCACAAGATTTGATTGTATTTCGAATGTATCTATATCTACTCCGTATACTCGAGTACAGACATAAGCCATACCATTTTTATACTATATTAGATAAAATGGTTGTCAGTTGGAAGGTTTTTGATAGATGGCTCACGGATTATATACATTGATTGGTAACTGGGCGTTAGTAGATTCGTTGATAATGGTGGTGAACAGCTGTCTACAATATTCGGACTGTAAACAAGCAGGCATTTGAGGTAAAAGCCCCTATTCGCGGCAACATGAATACAATGCACTGGCGCCAATATCAAACCTCTTAATAACTCAATCTATAGAGGGTATCTATAGAGGGCGCAATGAGAAAGTAGGCTACGAATACCTATTTACCTTTATTCAAAAGTAGCTCAGGACTACTACTCCAAGATACAACCTGCAATAATACACAGAAGGCTGAAGTCTAAGTCTATTTCACTACTACCTATAGTAAAGAGCGTCATATCAACTTCTACATATTTGCCATGTTCTACTTGGAGATTGTATTAAGTTTGGCAGTTTCATTGCTTGCGATGTGCACACACACTACTATATGCTTTTTACTACATCAGAATCAAACTTCTAGGGTTTATTTTGTGATTAGATGACGATGATGATTGGTATGTATGTATGTATGTATGTATGTATGTATGTAAACCAGATGGTTCTTCTGGGTTGTACATATTAGATGGGTTATTTGAGAGTATAGCTATAATTTGCTATGTGAAATATAATGAGTGATAAAAGATTTAGAAAGAAAATTGAGGAGGTGATTGATATTGAAAATAGAATGTACTATGGGTATTTTGTCTAGTACCTCCCTCATTCAATGAGATGGGATAGCATGGTCATATGGAATTCTCACAGACATATCATCACTTGTGTTTTTGATGACTATAGAGAGAATTGATATCTTTGATGTTAATATGGAATGTACTTTGGACTATAAATCGATACGTGGCCGGAGAATGTTTTATCTAGTTGCACTTATTTCAAAAACAGAGAGGAAGCCTGTCCATCTCTCAAAATCGAAAGGAAGTGATTTAGAGGTTACTTGACATTTTTGCTTTTCATCTATTGGCATTGAAATTAACAAGAGAGTACTGAGGGATAGCATGGTGATGGAATTATTCAAAGGGAATACATGATGTTATAGTTAGGTACTGTCGTTTGGAATTTACATAACACAAGCGAGGAAGTGAGGAAGTGAATTGAGTACTACACTTGTATGTACAGTATACTATTCTATATTCTTCCTTCCCTCTTCTTCTGGAGACAGAAGTGCCCGAAAATTCAGGATACATGTATCAAAACGTATACTCCACCACCATAAACATACTCTCAATCCATCCATCTATCACCTCTCACGCAACAAACAATTGCCAGACGGTTATCCCATGCAACCGGTACATATACAGAAGCCACCACAAGATCAATCGTAGCACCACCTTATGCATCTATCTGCATCCTACATCCAACTGTTACACAGTACAACACTGACAACACAACAAGTTCACAACAGCAGAAGACGTCATCATGAACGTAATCTGCACCACCACACTCAACTTTCTTTCCACGACTTCGTGCTGCACAGCATCGCATAGACAGATATGGCTTACACTGTACATGCATGTACCGAATGCATCTTTACATCATCATGAAACGTAAATATCCGTAAGGTATGCGTTCGAATGATACAGCACGATGCAGTACATACAGTAGTGATAGAATGATATCAGAAACGTGGAGTACAATAGTATTTCGAGTGATACTATTACTACAAGTATTCATACCCAACAAACAACCCAACTCAATTTCCCAAGGCCCATACTATACTTGTCCCGGTGCTTTCGAATCGATTGCATCATCCATTGACCACAAGTAAACGAACAAATGGGAGATTAGATTGAAACATCTTACTTACTCTGTTACCAACCAACATATTCAGAAAAAGAGTCAAGTGAGTTACGGTGCTGGCGCCAGTACCGGTAAACTCTCCTAGACCCTCCCTCCGTCCCTCCCTCCCCCCTTTCCTCTACAAGCTTCTCTATCTTCCTTCTTCGCAGGATAGGCAAGGGGCAATTATAATCGAGATTGGCGATTGCTGAAAGTGGGCTGGATATAAAAATACATCGCATCCCCTACAAACATCCCCTGGCCCCAAGTCCCAACCCTCATCCCCAGCAAGGCCAATCTAATTTCCCACAACCATCCTCGCAGCCATCAAACACCTGCGCCCGATAAACAAACCCCCAGGACAGAACCCAAAAGTAAATCTTCAATCTCGGGAATCGTTCTATGAAGTCTTCTCGAAGGTTGCTTGCTTTCATCTCCTGGGGCATCAATCGTAATGATAATCTCCGACGCCCATTTTCTTTTTCTTCTTCTTTTTACTGACTTGCCTTTTTGGGGACAACCTGTTTGCTTTTGATCTATGGAAAGTAAATAGAGCAAGAAACAGAGTAAACGGAAAAAAGAAAGAAGTGGGTGAGACTTATGTAATCGTATCACAGTGCAGACAGGCTTTTTTGGCCTATCTGAGAGAGTTAAGGGTTAACGATTCATACTGACTACTCGCCACAAGTACTGCGTATGTACCAGTACAGTACCTGACATTATCAATGTTGTACTGTACTGTACTGTCGTTAGAAATTAGCATACGAAAATACCCAAAAATTACGAAAACACGACATTACAACAGTACAGGTAGCTAGCTAGCTAGCTAGACGAATGCCACTCGATCTCATTTGATCTCATTGCCAGAAAACCGGTCAGGATCACATCACTCAAACTGGAGACTTGGAGCCCCGAGTACAGCATTCCAAAAATATCACAAACCAAAAAATAATAATATACCTAATCCAGTAACCCGTTGATACTCCTTTTGGAAATAATGTCCCACTCGCTACTCTAGCTTTCTTCTACTATGTTCCTATTGGTCCATCGTAGATATGGCTTAGTGACTAGGTTTCTTTTATCCACTTTATATATTAATCTTGAGGGGATTCATGTATAAAATTTAAGCCACCTATGTCATATGAGTCTTACATCCTCACTTCCACCATGCAAGTTCAACCAACAGAAGTAAGTCGAAAGTTCGTTGCCTGACCAGATGTTTCAACTTTCTAGATAATGTTATTGAGGAGAGTTCTGATTTGAGTGCTTTGATTGGGTTGTGCTATAGATTTTGAACATCCGTAGAATAGCTGAGATAATGGCGGTAATGCTGTTTACACAATTACACTTTACATTTTACATTTTACACTTTATGGTTACAAAGGGTAGGATAAATGTGCTCAGTGGAGCATCCATCTTCATAAATCCCTTTCCGGCAGGTTCTTGTTTACTTTCCACTATTGTCAATCCTCCACCGGGACTTCCTGTTTGTACTTAGATACAGTGCGAGTCTAATAAGGAAATGTCCGCGTTCCAGAAACTCATCATCCGTGGAGAATTTGGAGATGCGTTGCGATCCAATTTTTACTCCATCTCTTATAGTCCTTACCTATTGCTATATATATAAATCATCCTGAACATCAAACATGCCTCGTCACGGTCCAGAGGTTCGGTTATTGTTATATGGTATACCCCTACATATCATATATATATATAAATTAGTTACTGAGAATCGACAATTGACGATTGATGGAGGGAGAGTTCAACCCTGTTTCACAATTCCATCATTGTCTGTCTGTCTGTCTGTCTACCTGTCTACCTGTCTACCTATCTAAAGTCTAAACTCTACGGTATTAGCCCGATATCGTGTATATACCGGCCGGTGATATAGAATAATTTTACATCTGATACCGGTATATAGATTAATCATTAACAAACATCACAGAAACTTTTCGTCCCTTTATTATTAATTAGCTAATAATAAAAATTTCCAATTTGCAGATTGAAGATTTCTGATACTCTACGATATTCGCTACTCTCCGAAACCAAGTGTAACGTGTAACGATGGTGAAAAGGCGGGGGGAGGGGGAGGCAACTTTCACAATATTCATGGTTAAATGACAGTAAGCTAACAACCTACTTTGTAACCTTACAACTCCACGGAAATGTATACAATCAACCAATCAATCAATCAATCAAAAAATATATCTAGCTTTCCAAATCCCTCAAGTCTCAAGTCTCAACAGCCTAAAAGTAAAGAACCTCAAGAAGGCTGTGCAACGCCCCTCACTAAATAATCTAGATAATAATTAGGCCAAAACCTCAACATTCATCCATCCATCCATCCATCCATCCATCCATCCATCCATCAAGCAAATCCTCCAATCATAATCATAATCTTACACTTACAAACCCCTCCCTCACTCCCTCCCTCCCCCTTGCACCCAAGTGGATACATGTATACGTTTCCGAGTTTCAGAGTTTTCTAGGGGTACATAATACAATCTGCGGATTTGCGTCATTGAAGCTAGGATATTATAATTCACCTGGTGACAGACATCATCAATCCCAATTCTTACCGCCATCTTGCCTTTCCCTTTCCCTTCCCCCCCCATTCATCCATCTATCCATCCATCAATTAGATTAGCAATTTATATTAGTGATGAATTGATGAAATGAACAAAACTAGTAACGTGATCCCACATCCATCCACATCCACATCGAATCCCTTGCCCCTAACCCCTAACAGCAATCGGACTTTGGAGAACTAACTTGGAGGTACCCTACCTCTTACCTCTCTCTACCTACCTACATACATAAAATCCCACTAACTAACTAACTAACTATGCATTGTGCAGTGTGCAGTATAGAACTTAGTTGTCAATGATAGGTAAATAAATCTAAACCTAAACCTAAACCTAAACCTAAATCTAAATCATTATCTCATTATCTCATGCATGCATACATGCATGCACCTACGATCCATTCATTCCATCACTGATGTGTTTGAACCACACCAACACCAGCATCTGGTTATGATTTTTTGCATCTCCTCGGTACAGTATGTATCATACGTATTGCTATTCGGTGAGAGAGAGATTTTTGGGTGCTGGCCTGGCGGTGTGTTGTGTTATAGGAAGGAGTGCTGTATATCCTAAGGTTTAGGTTTAGGTTTTTTTTAAAAAAATGATATCATGATTGAGAGACAGAGAAGGAGAAGGAGAAGGAGAAGGAGAAGGAGAAGGAGAAGGAGAAGGAGAAGGTGGTTTCTGGGATAATTGACCACCCACACGACAAACAACGGCTGGGGAGAAAGGACTATGCAATATGCATCGAATTGAGTTATATATCATGTCATGTCATGTCCTACTCAACCTATGTACTGTATTGGTCGAGCTGCTATATACAAACGAGATCCTATTCTCACATCGCCACTGTAGACTGTACAATTATAGTGAGAGCCATTTGCTGATTCATTTAAATTATTAATTTCTATGATGATCGAAGCGCTTGTATGTATGTATGTATGTATGCATAAGCCTTTCCATCCATCCATCCATCCATCCATCCATCCGATTGAAGCTATTCCCGCTCGTCAACCACCCATCTAAACCCATCCATTGCCATTCCCCTATCCTATAATGTGAAAAGTCCTTCTTTCCGTCAAAGGGGGTATAATCTGAGCGAATGAACGAAGAAAAGAGGCAAACGTAACCGCAACTAATAATAGTACAAATATACACGACACGCCCATGATATTTGGAACGTGACCAAGTGAATCCCATCCGCAATGCCCTGAAAAACTACACGCCTCCTCGCCGAAAGATCAATCTTTTCAACGCCGTCCATAAAAGCACATATTTCATCTTGCTCCATATTCCAGGTTAGCGAAGATTATTGGCTTCCAAACCCTCCAAATGTAAAGGTAGTAGACCTAGCTCCAGAAAACTCTAGAGGGCCATCATGTAGCGAATGAATTAGAAAATAATATAGTGTTGGTCGTTTTAAATAAAGTGAAGTCCAGCCCACCATGAATATAAAAAAAATTAAATAAAAGGATTCCGCGTTTCGAAATTCGCAATTGATAATTAACCCGTTGGAAGGGTAATCATCGACACACTGGATGCATAAAAGCATTTTAGCGACGAAATCATTTGCGTCGAGACTATTTTGGCCAATTATTTTTTCAGGGCCGTCTATTTGTCGTGAGGTAGGTGATATGGACAGTGTGTGATGATGTGCGTGACAGGTAGTGTACAAGTTAAAATATTTTGAATCTATTCATCTGATTGATGATGATCTTCGGATCCAGTTTCCGATCTTCCGTCTCCCTTATGTACTTTTTTGTGTCTTCGTAAGTTAGATACGACTGAGAAGTGTCTACCACAACCTTCAATGTCGCAAGGAAACGCTATTTTTCAATTAGTCTTGAAAGTATGATATTATGGTCAAACATAGTGACTTACGCTTCTCCCCAGTATGACTATACATATGTGTTTGTAAAGAACTTGGTCGCGTGAATCGTTTCTCGCAAATCTTGCACTTGTGCTTTTTGAGTGTGCTGGAGGATACTTTCGAGCTGAATTGGCCCATCATCGATTGAGGCGCGGGTGGCACTCCACCACCAAGGATACTACCAGGCGGAGGTAATGTCCTCGCTGACACCGATTCAATATCAGAACCATTCGAGTATTCGGATACTGAACCATCAACAGATCCGTAATATTGATAGCCGCTTGACGAAGAGATTGTCGAATTCGGCGGATGTGTTGCTGGGAATCCGTATGCATCTCCGGATCCTCTTCCGAGCCGTGGGGAAACTCCATAGATATTTCTTGGTGTGGTATTTTGGCTCATAGCAACCATATCTCTTGCGCCATCGAGTGTTGCATCTCGTTGAAATCCGGTATTATTATTATTTTGTAATCCTCTGTCATAAAAGTCAATAAGTGAGTTTTGACGGTGGGACCGCGGCGCATCGGCAGGGAGATCGAAAAAGGAATTGGAGGATACTGACGGCTGTGAAAGACGTCTCGAATGATCCTGATGTTGAATCTCATACATAGGTCGGACCGTCGAGACCGGTGCTGGTGCATAACCCGTTCCATCATACGGCGACGGCGCTGACGCATAAGTAGCATGAACAGGCGACGGCGCGCTAGTATACCCGGCGTCGCTCCCATAACCAGCTGGTAAAGAACGGCTGGGGCTCATCATATCTTGTTGACTGGTGAGCAAATCCTGTTGTGCTCCAGAGAAATCCGTAAAGAGGTTACCTGCTGATGCCGCAGTGACTGGCGTCATACGATATTGTCCCGTGGACACATTATTATTTAAGCGTGCACCTTGCTGCCTCGCAATACCCTCAAGTCCCAAAGTTGGATTGATGCTAGTCGGAGCATAAATGCTAGAGTTTGCAGATGGAGCCGAAGTCGTGTGCCATGGATCGGTGAACTGAGGTGGTGCAGGATTCGAATATGGCAAGTGATTGCTGAAGTTCATAACGCCTCCGAATGGTGGTGGTCGATTGTCCATTGTCATGGTCATCATTACTCTTATGAATAAAAGTCAGAATGCTTCAAACTAAACAATGGTGGATGTATATGGTATAGTAATGTAAGTAAGGAGTATAATCTCAAACAAAACGTGGATCAGATGCAAGATCCCGTGCGAAAAAGTGTAATGTTTGATGGAGTAAGAGTTTAAGATGTAAAAAAGAGTCGATCAGGAATGTGTCAACGGGTGGGATCAGCGTTCTTTATGTGCTTCAGACTTGTTGATGGAAAAGCTTAAGGATGGAGGGATGGAGGGAAGGAGCATTCAAGGGTAATGGTTGGTGGGGTAATCCTTGAATGGTGTTGAGAATCTGAGATGAGTGGTTTCGTTTTGAGAGTCAAGAACGTCTAGTCAAGGCTTTCGATAATTGGAGAATTGGAGAATTCGTCTGGTTGATGATGCTTGTAGTTGAGGGAGAGGGTTGAATGGGAATACCGTGCACCACGCTGCTGGGGGGGTGTGTAGACTTCTAGCAGTGGGGCAAACCTGCACTTGAATCTCTTCAGAAATGATCGACGGAAAGTTATTCTCCCTCTTGATTTTTACCGGTATATTATTCCTCTGCGACCTGGGTACTTGGTCTTGCCTCTTCCTCGTGGAGAAAGGAGAGGCTAGCGTAGTTGCTGTCGAGTAAATGTTACTAGTGTAGTTGCGGTGTGCTAGCAGCTCAATCCAGGAACAAACATCAGTCTGTGTCCTTCCTTCTTTGTGAGATTAAGCTCATCAGACAAAGTCCCACTTGATTGATGAATTTCGAGAGTCAAGAAGTAGCTGTCAGATCTTCGGCAGTGCTGTTGATCTACTGATGTATACGTGGGGGAGATGTCAATTCGAACGAGGCAGTGATGTTGCGGTAATTGTGTATATAATATGGCCCCAGATGTCCTGTATAGATATTGAATATTGGATACAAAAGAGTTATTGACGGCTTGTTATTTCTTTGGGGTATGATCAGAGGTTTGAAGAGGGCTGATTTCAAGATATATTTGGAAGGTACAAAACTGGAGGCAATCCACATCCCAGAAAGATACTTGGAAATGATAATAATTTGGTGGAACTTCAAGGTCTGTCTTGTCAGGCCTGTCTTTTCATTTTCTCGAAGAAGGTGTATGGACAATCAAAAGAAGGGGGGGTGCAAATAGAACCCTTGTTCAAAGTTGGTTGTGGATTGGTTTTTTGACTTTAATGATCGAAAGCTACTCTTGTTGTTTGATTTTGTATAGTTTAGGTTGAAGTATTATATTAGCCTTAGTGTAAATTGCTGCATTTTTATGATGTAGAAGACCAGGACAGGGATAAGCAAGGATAAGGATTGCTATATGTACCCTTGGTCATCATTAAAACAAATCATTTGATCCCGAAACTGGGAGGAGAATTATTTCCGTATACTATAGTATAGAATATACGCCTACTCTGTATGATGCAGGGGTGTGATCAAAGTGAAGATTAAGAGGTGTAGATAAATATATTGTATTATGTATTAGTGATGACTCGAGTAGTTTTGAACCTTTACTGGAATTAGACACTCTCAGAAGGCTGGGCAGGCCAATAAGATGTATACTTTGAAAATAGTACTTCTTTAGTGTGTAACTATTACTTGAACGAGTCAAAAGGAACTGAAATCTAATCCTTACACATGTGCTACCAAGCATCTAAAATGGTCTAAAGAATTTCCCTCACGCCGCGTTTCCATCAACCGCATTCCATAACTAACACTGCCGGAAATATGTATCATAAAAGTAATAGAAAACACATACCGATTGTTAGCTAGCAAAACTCGAGTCAAGGAGTTATGTCGAGAACTTTCACTAACTCCTCTTTTATGATATTAGTGTACAATTTCCAAAACCAGTGCTGTTTACAGTTTAGACTGATTGCAGTGAGGCATTTATTAGCATTTATTAGATGTGGCGTACTCCATTTCACCCAAAACCTAACGGATGTCCTACCTTGATCAACTTCAAAGATATGATAGGGTATATTGGTGGGAGACAGCACAAACCATTGACAGCCATTTCCATTCGAAGTTCCAACGAATGAGATTACGAGAATGCAGTAAAGTTCAAGATGTAGTCAATTGCGAAACTTTCATCATTGTACATTCAACGATAGCATTGGTATTTGCTGGCAATACAGAACTGTACAACAAACGTCAACTGATTAGCTTTTGAGTAATGTTCTTGTTCGATTAAGTGAGATACTAGTAGATACTCATTTAGAGACAAGTAATTATAAGATTTAGAGATATCTATATTATACTTATTTCTAATTTATTTATATAAGAGCAGATACTTTTAAAAATAAAACTTTTAGTATTTTTTATAATGCTTAAAGAAGATTATAAAATCTATAGAATTCATTTATGAAAATTAATTAAAACTTTTGAATATGTTTTAAAATTTATAATAATTCAAAATTTAATGAAAATAAAATAAAAACTTTTTCTTATATTTCGTTTAAACAGAAATAACAAGTCTGAATATCTACGAATCAAGCTTTTTTGATCAATTCAAATTTATATAATCTATTAAATTAGAGAATTTAAGTATAAAATAGACTTCAAGTTTCCTATAATAGAAGTTATCTAGTACTAACTAACTATATCAATCTCAAACACGGCACTTAAGATCAATTGCAAGTATATACGGAAAGATTATCTACTTGCACGTTTATAGACTAAAGTATAAAGAGTATTCCATGATTGGCCCATCAAACCTGCTTGCTCAACCCGATAAAATTTCCAATCTGCGAAACCGGAAGATTATTTTCAATCAAATTTCGTACCCCATGTCAGACATCCCCCCATTGTCTCTCCAAAATATCTCGAAGAATCTCGTGGTACTCCATTTATTTATCTGAGATCTAATCTCTTTAGGTTTCTTTTCTTTTTACTCGTAAACCCGCAAGAATGGGTGAGAGAAAAATTGGAGCTTGATTCTTGGGATCAAGATCATGACGGCATTTTTTGTTTTTGTGTCGAGAAATCGAAATCTGTTCTCATGAAATGATGTGAAAGGGGTTGCAAATAATTGTTCCTCTTTTCAGAAATTCAGAGTTATGTTATGTTATGTTATTGTTATTGTTATGGTCAATGAAACGTTTGTCTGTCTGTCTGTTCTTCCTTCAACGGGTCTATACAACCGTCTCTGTACCGGAATATATCACTCCCCTTGCTGTGGCTTGCGTAGGCTTGATGTTCAATGCGCGCACAAGCAAAGGCAGGAGGATTAGATGGACCCCGAAATCGTCATATCGACCAGGGCTCGGGGAAGGTTGTTGCCTCTGCAAGTAGGTGGCGCCAATAAGCTTGTCTGTCCAGTACGATACAAAGGGACGACGCCATCATTTTTCAAAGAGAATTTTGAGGGTTTCGCCATAGGAATTCAGTCAGAAGAAGCTTTTAATTGTGAAAAAAAAGAAAAAGAGGACGATGTTAAACGATCTATGATTAAGGGGTATCAAAACTTCTCTTGAAGCTCTGTTATCTACACGATTCTACAGTTATCTTCTAAAACTGTTAATCCAATATTGGAATACGAGTAAGTCGAAAAAGGAAGTAAATATTCTCAATGTCCAATCCCAGTTCCCAGTCGCCTCAGATCAAGTCTAGAGGCAAGTGTGTGTCTTGACGGTGTCCTTGGCATTTATTAATCGATGCCTTTCTCTCGCCACTGCACCAGTTTTAGCTGCATCTTTTTAGGACGGGTATGGTATTACCAAAGTTCAAGCAGCGCCGTTTGTAATGGTCGCATGTGTGGGGAAATGGAATGATGGTTGGGTTTAGGAATACGGGATGGATGGGGTTGATCACAAGAATGATGAGGTTAGAGGAAAACTTGGTATCGAGAGTCATATACCAACATCTGCAATAACGATGTCATTATGGTACAGTACTACAATCATGTTTACCAATTATGACTCGGGCCGCCCCATGTCATCTTCTACACATCGTATCATTTAACCAATAAGGAGACTGCTGGTTTGAAGGAAAGAAAATCTACCAATTTCTATACTTGTTGTATTTTGGATACTTTTTCAATACGCAAATCAAATCAATATCACCCACCTAATCTAAAGCATTTCTTGGGAATGAAGGTTACAACCAGGACAAATCCCATCCGGCAACGCGGGACGACGATCACAACAGTAAGGAGATGGGGGAATCGGGAAAGGGAAAATCTAAATCTGACAGGGGGTATGCACTGTTAATCATATAGAAAGCTTATTGGATAAAGCTGTAAACAAATGACAATAAAGCCTGTACCAATACTACCAAAGAAGTGAGACCTACTTCTTTCCCAATGTCTCTTTTTGGTTGCCTGAGCCCTGGTTTCTATTGTATTGTTCAGTTTGTACCGTGTACCGTTTTATCCCAGTAATATCATCGAGGAATTATTATATCACTTTTCTATCCACCTCTTTTTGATCAGGAAAGAAAAGCCTCACTCATCTTCTTTCTTCCTATCCTATCCTATTGTCAATTGATTGATTGTCAACCGCGGTCTACGGCTTCAAAACATAGGTACCGTACTGTACACAGAAACGGTGCAACCTGTACTGTATGTAGTGCCACATACTCGAGTAGCTGTAGTGTAGAATCTGGATTCAATGAATTGGTGAAGTATTGTAGTAATAAATGGCATTATATATAGATTTTATGAACCGAACCGGATAATATATAAACCATTTGGATCGGCGATATCATATCAACGACTCGGTCAATGCGGGCCGAAAATTGTACTGTACCGAGGCGAAGGATAAAGGGGAACTCCTTACCTTACAAATTTCAGACTTATCCGGATCACGTATTATCAAAGATACCCAATATTGGTCTACCGTATATTATATCATTATATCGAATTATCAACCCTACCTACCTGCCGTGCGCAAATCCACAATGTATACATTAACTTTGTGGAGGAAGGACTGAACTGATTACTATTCCACGCTATTGTATTCAAGCATCCAATTCCTATCCA